GCCGAATATTACGTAATACATGCGGAATTTTTAAAAACGGATGTCGAGCAAAAATATAAGCTTGCTGAATTCATGCAGTTTAACTCTTTGTTCATTTCACTACCATTCTTCGAAAATGATAAATTTGTAGATAGTACCAGAGCATTTGACAATCGAAGAAATTTAAATCTTTAAATTCAAATTCGATGGATGTAATCTCAGGTTATTGCAAGAGATAAAAGTGGAAATGATAATGAAAACAATTAATGACGCGGCGGTAGTGAAATCACTTTAAACCAACTCAAACGGGAGTTTCGTTAAAAATAAAATATAGGACGGCCGGAAAGTCAAAACCACGCGAAATAAAAGAAGAAAGATGAAAGGGCAGGAAGAGAGGACGAGACGCGATGTCGCAGTTCCAAGAAAACCGAGAGGGTCGCCTTGGTCCACGAATAAATCGATTTAATTCACCTCGCGAAAAATGTCCCTCGCGTTAACGATCAAAGACGCGTTCCACCTTTAACTCCGGCGTACAATAAATAGCGGAACTTTTATCGCAATAAATACCAACAACCGCTTTAACTTTGTAGGAAAAAGAAAGAAACCTGGCGTTTAGCGTTTCCCGCATAATTTATGTACTATCGATAAGTATAGGAACAGAAATATCTCTACGAATAGCTCTACGTGTCGTATATTATCTGTAACTTTCCTCGCGTAACAACACGCGCGATACACGGGGGAGCTTAAAGAGAGCCTTTACGGCGATAACAAGAATAATATTTTTTCGCGCGAAATACACTTCACACTCGCCTCGTCGCAAACCCCATCGATCGCCATCTTTTCTCGCTACTTTCAGCATTAAACATCTCGTCCGCGTCGTTGGGGACCCGAAGCACGGATCGAGTGTCCGATTTCAGGTAAAATCCAGGTAAAATAACGCGTGAACGGTGATCGAAGGTTATAGCCGGTCGTGTTATTTAAAATCAGAGCAGATCTTCGTGTGGTGACATCCAGTTATGAGTTTTGCGACGTTAAAAAAAAGGGGGGAGAGAGAGAGAGGGGGGGGGGGCAGACAGACAGAGAGAGAGGGGGGGTGAGGGGAGACGTCGAAACCGTAAAAGTCGTGCGGTGGAAACGAGTCTGGTGCAATTACTACGAGGCTGGCTATCCTCGGACCAGGAACGAACGACCAACCACGCCCTCGCTAATGCGAGCCCGCGCGAGACAGGATTTCGAATCGACTCGGCAAGGACGCCTGCTATATACAATGCACCCGCGGCACACAAAGACCGGCTACTGACATTTTTTAATTGCACCCCTGTTTACGCGGCCGAGACTCCGGTCGCCGGCGGCGTATTGCCAGCGTTGCCCGGCTATCGCCGACAATAAGTTTCGCACGATATGAGCGCGTGCCGCTCCGTATCGGCAACCGAAAACTCTCTCACGATAACCTGGACAAAGGCTGAAGCGCGGTCCGTTCGGTCGTTCGATCGGAACGAGAGCTTGGAATTCGTCCACGCGGGCAACGGTAAATTTATCGAGCATTTGAACGAAATCGAGCGAAATTTAACGGACGGACGCGAAAAGCCGTGTCTCCCGCAGGTCGGATTTTAAGAATCGAGGGAGAACGAAAGGAAAAGACGAAGACGCATAAAACAGTAACGAGTCGTACAATGTACAGCGAGGGACGGAATGGTTGCGATACGTTTTCTTTTCATGAGTTTAGGGGCGCGCATTTAGATTCTGGTTTACGTTCCGCGAAACATTTTCTCCGAGGAAAATTTTATTTGAGAAATAGATTGAAAACGCTCAAAATGGTTTTGAATTGGCCATCGAGTAAAACATTCCTCGGAGAGGAGGATTTTGGAACGTAACCCTGAATCTATATGCGCGTTCCTAGACTCACTAAAAAAAACAAGTGTCGCAACCAATCTGTCCATCACTGTACAATTGACCGATAAATCTTCGTCATAAAGACAATGTTCTACATTTGTATTCCTCACTTTCGCGATATGTCATTCTTAGCGGTACTCAAGTTACGTTATTTATTTCGGCGTCCGACGGAGATTTCGCGTGTAAATATTTTACTTATCGCCTGCAAACGGCGATAATGGCTTGCTGTCAAAGCGCAATCTACTATTCGAAAAGCAAAGTCCAGTTGTCCAGTGTATTGGGAAAGGCGTTAAAGAAATTTTATTTAACCGCTCGTATCAACCACCTCCTGCGCCGTGGTCTCGTGAGCATATCACGAGAGATAAATTCTCCTCGCGAAGATCTCACGAAACCTTTCTATCTTTATAATTAGCTCGCTTGTTTCCAACTACGCGAAATGATAGGTCGATTACCGTGAAATGATTACCTGTTACTTACTAAATTGAGGAGTAATGATACAAAAATGTAACAAGCTCAAAGGGTATCATTTATCTAATTTAATATTAATAATTCCTTGTTAACCATTCGCGTATCGCGCGTAATATAAACACGTAATATTAGGTCAGTAACGATCATATTTTAGAGCTTTGTTACATTATTCGATATTCCATTTTGATATTACTATCAGGCAGTTTTTATTATTGATTTAAATTGATTTTACCAGATTTCAATTATTCTCGTGTCGAAAGCTGCTCGTTCAAAAAAATATCTTGCTAACGCAGGTAGATTTCTAAGTGTCGCGGCAAAAATTTATCGCTATTTTCTATTAGAAAAATGTTTGGAGCCTGCAAAATTTATAACAGCAACATTCTAGCAATACCTGCTGACAAATTTCGGTTTCATGACTAAATATAATCATTCACATTAGATAAAAATTAATTTCGGTACCATAGCTAGAACAATCTTTGTACATGGAAAAAAAGTGTCAGATTACGTCTTACAGACTCAAATTAACGCGTTCATTGTTTTCTATATAGGTAACAATCTATAATCTCTCTTTAGAAGCATTTAATAATCTTATATTCCAATATTACGGTTATTATTTAAATACTATGTAATTGTCACTTCAAGAATACATATAATTATTTTGACACTAAAATTATTTTAATCATTATAATTTTCAATTTCAAAATATGTTACTTTCTCTCTAATATTGTTTACCTTCCATTCAAAAAAATTATTCTTAAATAACAAGCATATATTTTTCTTGATTGAATTATATAAAATTGCTTCGTTCAAGTAAGTTTTTCTTCCTTTAACGCAATATAATCTCATTTCAAGATTTTCACGTTAAAACTAAATATATTTTCAAAAGAAGAATATTCTTTTTTCTGTGTAAGGAATATAACTGTTTCTGTACCACAATCAAACGTTATAATGGATGGGCGTAACAGAAAGACTTTCTTCCTAACATTCGCCAACAGTTCAGATAGAAGTTTTGTTATTTAAATTGATGAAATACAAAACATATGCGATTTCGCAGTATTGGCTGTTCATTTTTATATCTCAGTTATTTTTTCGTACTTAGAAAATTGTTGCTGCAGTTGCAAGATTATTTTTTTGAATGTCCTCAATGATAATATTAACATTGACTTGGGTATAAATAAAAGTAATTCCAAACGAGATTGTCTCAAATTTAGTGCACTATCTCTTGCGTATTAGAGAAACAAGTTTGAAGATAAACCAAAATCAGAATACTTTTACGTTCTCGATACACGCGATACAATTTTCAATTGTATCTCTCGCTCTTCGACTTGCAGCGATCTATTCAGTGAAATAAATACGAGGGGGCAAACGATATTTGGCGATTCGCAAAATGGAAGAATAGCGCGACCCGCGCAAGACCTGCCGAGGCGACGCGTTTTGCGGAAGACGATAAACCTGCTCGGTAAAAGTTGCGCCTCTAAGAAAACCGCGGATCGGCGGCGGGTCTCGCCTCTGTTTTTACCGCGAAATTTTCCATCACGTACCAGCCGAGTGAATTTCTCGGTTCTCGTACCTAACTATCGACATTGCCGGTCTTATAGTGGTGGTAGATTCGAAAGTTAGCCTTTCGTACGACCGACTCGTCGGCTCGTGTCTTTCTTCGACAGGGCCGTAGCCACTGCGACTCGTGCGATCTCGAAGGATCTCGCACGATCCTCGCTCCGACGTTTAATGCCTTCTCCGCGCCTCTCTTTGCAGGACGCATAATTCAATCACTTGTCGCTTTGAAATATGACGATAACAATAAACCGTGCGTATTTCTAACTGCACAGAGTCGTTACGATACTTTTGTGCAGTTGAAATTTTCCAATTTGCTCTTACGGTATTTAACGTGGATCGTTTAGCGCATAAACTGTAAAGAATTAATGAAATTCTTGCGCGAACAATTTTGCTTTAATTGTGCCAAACGTTATAGAAAGCTCTAATCATCCTTTAAAGAGAATGATTAGCTAAATAAACACGTCGCGAGACAATAACTGATAACGAGCGAGAGATGTTAAAACTCGAATGTATTTATTCCAACAATCGAGAGAAAAACGAAATTTTTGTGGAACATTTTGGACTTCAGAGTCCTCGTCATATAATAAATTAAACGCAACAGTTAATTGCGTGAGGCAGTTAATTACGTGAAATTATAATAGAAAAAGACAAAACTAAATCGACACAAAGTCCGGCTGATGAAAGTTTCGAAAATTCGAAAACTAAAAAATGTTCTTTTTCTTTCGATCGTTAGAATAAACGCACCACTCGATTCTTAACATCTATATACTTTCTCTTGCTTACTGTCTCACGTGTTCATCTATGTATATGTACACTCGAAGTCGACCTGCTTTAACTTTTTACAGCTAGTTTCGTTGTTTGCAATTTTAGTTTTGCTACGATGTAACTCCATTAATATCACTTCGTCAAATAAACGGGCTTTTTTGACGAAACTGATTAAAACGTGACACACAACTCAGCATAATACACGTATTCTTAAACGAATTGTCAGAGCAGCGCGCTTGAAATGAATCGATTTACAACGAACGGCTCGTATCAAGAACAAGATGCGTGGGGGAAAAGACAATTAACGAACATGCATCAGTTACAAAGTCAAAACTTACTGTCTCCACCATGTCGAATCCTCCTCCGTACACCATATCTTGCCCCCCCGTCGCCTCACACTTTTGACAGCTGTCGTCTTCGCGCGCGAGGATCGATCTCTCGGCGCTCTCGCTCGAGAGGAGAGATCAAATTTACTTCGTCTTCGCGCGGTCGCCGACGACGACGAAAACGACGAAGACGACGACGACGACGACGATGGAAAATCCAGCGGATCCTCCTCGTCCTCTCTCTCTCTCCGCCCGGCGCCTTCTTCGTCAATCGTTTTTATCCGGCTGCTGTGGTCACGATCCCTCCTCGTCGCGTGCGCGGCCTCTCGCGAATCCTCGCGGCTCCTCGCGACTCCTCACAACCCTCGTGCGTCGCGTACGATCGACCGACTGACCGCCGCCGCCGCCGAGCGTGTGGCGGGAGTCGGTGGGCGCGTTCGAATTCGAAGCGATCGGCCGAGCGCCGGCGAAGCCGGCCGAGCGCGCGCGACCTACTAACTCGCGCATGCGCGCGTCGCGCGCGCACTCGCGGTCCTCGCGCGGCGCGGCGACAACGACGTCGCTCCG